CCACCCAGCACCTCCTCCCCAGTGGTTTGTTTTACGCCACCTCAAACCGCACCTGAACCCAACGCAGAAAAAGTCCTGCCCTTTGCCCGCAGGAACACAGACGCCATGGAACCATTTGTGCCCATGGTGTGAGCAAAGAAAAATATCCCCGACCAGTGCGATGGTGACACATTCTCACGCGCACGTGTGCGCACACACCTTGCTTTTCGTTCCATGGAAGGGCCGCTGAATCTGTTTGTCACGCCTGTAGGAACTTTGCAACAGCACCTGGGTAATGGAGACCAGTCTTAACATTTGGTGTAGAACTGACTCACGTTTCTCAAGACACCTTCAGCATAAAACAATCCATATAACTGGAACATTTAGGTTTTTAAACTTATATATGTAGCCACAAATCTATGATGCAACTACAGCCAAGCATATACTGTCATTTTTTGGCAATTCAGTAATGAACTTATTTTACCTATTTACTATATTTTTCAATATTGTTACTGTTGTGATGTCTATGCTTTCATTCTTGTTTCAACATGCCTGTTATACTATATAAGATTACCATATAAAATTAGCGACGGAACGAAATGAAAAGTTCCCGCAACCCTGACGAGCATAAGTAGGATGAATGTATGGATTAATGAAATTAGGGTAACCTTAGACTATTTTCGGTGCTTTCTGAGTGATATTAGTGCCAACTAGCCCAGTGTAAGTCTAACTTAAAAAGAACTTCTTTATCAATAAGCATTTGCCCTAAAGGAATAACATGCTTTTTCTGAAACTTCACAAATGAAGAAATGAAGATATAGGAAAAAGTACCAGATGGAGAGGAAAACATGATAAACGTGGCCTTTCTCCAAGCCGTCCAGCCCCCCCCCCCCCCCCAAACGGCTGCTTCTGCTTCTTACTGAAGTTTCCTCTCGGGTGCATCTGAAAACTCAGCTTTCCTCACTGCTCTTACGAACATTACCTCAACGCTTTACATTTGATACTGCAGATTATCTATGATAATTAACGATGCCTTTATTTAGGTACCTAAGCTCTCCCTGGAGCACGAAGCTTCACCATTCTGCGCAGAAATGCAGTTCCTCCATCTTTGTGTTACTGCTGCCTGATTTGAGTATAGCCCTCTTCCCCGTGCCTGAGCTGACCTGTATCCCTGTACAATAGTCCCGTACATGCAGTCTTAGAGACTGTGGATCCTGCTCTGGGATCTACCCATCTGTCATCTCACAGGAAGGCGTGAGATCAGTTGATACTGTGTTGTCTTACAGTATTAACTACGTGTGTATTATATTGACATAGCAATTACTTGGCATGAATAATTATTTTAGTCATAGTAGTTTTTTTTGGCTCATTGGGAACATTAATTGATTTTGCGAAGACCTACAAAAATAGCAGCAGCAGTCAAAGCAAGTTGTGGGAGTCTGGGAATCAGTGCGTGGGCTTTGTTTGCAAAGTAATATGGCTTCGTAGAGTATTTACTGAGCAGGGGGCACCTTTCGTTTTGATCAGATGATGACATCTACCCCAGGTCCCTCTGTCCATCATGAACACATTCGGGTTTGACTCTCTCTCCCGGAGGCTTGTTTAGCCAGCAGCGTAGATGACTTGCTGGTGCCCCCCACTCCCAGCACAGTTGGAGAATTATCACTGTGACGGGAGGAAGGAGAGCGGCCACTGGATGGGAAGGAACAGCTTCCGAGCGGTGGTGGGGACTGGGCAGGAGCAAAACTCACACATGGAGCTTAACTTTGGCTGACAGAGGAGGAGGAAAGTGGCCTGTGTGAGTGTCCTTATGCATGTGTGCATTTGCGCGTGTTTGTATTCGCAGTGCACATGCATGATAGATTAATGCATTAGCGAATGAGCTGTTGACAGTAAAATTGTGCCTTCAGGTGCATCACCAGTAAATCTACAAGCTTGGGCACTACTTCTGGATGCTTGCGTGTGTGCCCCTTGCTGACAGAAACATGCAGTGCTGTGAGTTTCCCTCTTACTCAATCTGACAAGGAGGTGTAACCTTCATTGACCAAAAACCAAAGTTCAAGTAAATATAGTCTCTTTCCTTGCATTTTTGTCTAAAACTGTCCTCGATCTTGCAAAGAATAAATTCTGGATTCTGACCTGTTCAGCTTGATAGCTAATTGAGACTGTCCTCCTGGCTGATATGGACAGCCGGTGATGTCTACGAGCAGCATGCAGGCCATTGGTTCTCATTCTGCTGGTGCTATCGGCTGCCTTCGTCAAAGGGCACCGTCAGATGCTCCTGGCCAGCCTCTCTTAATTCGGGAGACTGCTCTGAAGTAGTGTAAGTCTCATCGCTCACATAGACTCTTCCAGGTGTGTTGAGAAGCACAACCGGTCAGGAAACAACCGGTGTTCCACATGGCTTAGTTCTAGGCCCGATCTCCTTGTCTCTGTTTGCCGCCTCTATATGTCCAATCATTTAGTTCCATGGCTCCTCCAACCGCTACTATAAAGAAGGCATCTATCTTTCCCTGACCTTCCCAAATGACACAACAACCCCATCACATGCCTCGCTGACACTGAAACCTCCTGCAGCTGAAA